GAAAGGTGAGGTCTCGATATAAAATACAGCGCTTTGAAAGGCCGCAGGCGCTGTTTGTAAAATTATGATGCGCGAATCCTTTCCTGATCTCTTTGGGAGAGTGAATTAATTAATTCTTTTTTTTTCATTTCTGTTTACGATGGATGAAATTTCGGCACGTGAGGAATTCTTTATCTTACTATAGCTTGACTTGTGCTCAACGACAAAACAACGTTTTCCGTTTTCGAACGTTGCCGAAGCGCGGGTCGAAGTTCCAGCGGATGATTTTTTAATAGTCTACTTTTTCATTATAAATACAATTGTGAAGTAATAATAATAATTTAAATCGTTCTCATGTGTGCTGAAATAAGCTGAAGATCGGAATTCGAACTGATCGAAAGTACATTGGCCGCCAATGAATCGATCCGATCGTTTCAATGACTCATAAAATTCTAAAGCCACCGCCGATAATTCGATTCGTATAATATCGGCGATTTCGCCCGCGCATAATATCTTCTTTCACGCTCTCCTTCGTTGAATAACATCTTTCTCTGTAGCTCGGCTCGGCGAAAGAAGGAATTGCGGAGGTGCCAGCGGCGTTACGTAAATCACGGAATGCAGATGCAACTCGTGCGAGCGTAATGAGTCTTTAATTCCCGAGATATCCAAAAATATAACGCCCGCCATAACGTATCATTAAATAATGCGAACGAACGACACTTTCGGTACGTTAAAATGTCCGGAGTTTAGTAGAATATTGTAATTGAGGAAATATGAGATCGGATAAAAGAAATTCCCCGTCTCTGTGAAACTTCGCGATAAAAAGATCTCGTTTCTGCAAAAGTTCCGGAAATAACGGCGGTACGCGAGAAAATTCTCAAATCGTGCTTACGTTGTGTTTCGAAATATTTCATAAAATACGGACTTACAGTTAGCTCGGTGTAGTCACAGATGGTTGAACCGACCTTGCTTGCGCAATCGTTTCGAAAATTACCGACATACTACAACGATATAACGTCGTTACTGTGAAGACACGCGGCCGATTCCAGCGGGCGAAAGTAATTAAGAGTTGAACGGATCTAACGGACGGATCGTTGCTCTCCACGACAGAAGTCGTAGAATCCGACTGGTAGAATCGTCATCAGTTGCCGAGGCACGGCTGCCGTGACTCAGCCTGTACGTCGCGTACAACATTGACGAATAATTTATCGGCGAGTGGCGTAAGCGGATAGAGAAGTATTAACGAACCGAGAGAGGCGCGCACGCGAAGGACTTCACTCATCTTTAGCACTTACGGGACGAGCGTGTCTGTACTTTTCTCTCCCCCCTCTCCCCTCCTTCCTTTCCGTTTCTTTCTCTCGCGAGAATGTCTTCCGATCGAGGGGTGCAATTACGATCGCGACGAGGATGCGTATTTACTTAGCGCCGCCGCCATTATATATCGACGCGCGATTAAATGTACGGGAGATTAATTTCCCGATAGGAAAATATCTCTTATCGGTGATCTTGAGTTTTTGTGGCTTCGCACATGACAGAGCCGTTATCGCGCGTTTTATGGTATCGGCTCACGATAACGGAGTCGACGTACGAGGCTGCGTTGAGGGAAATTGACTTTTTTGTATTTCGTATGTCGCGTTAACGTCAAATGTACGTCATGTTAACGTTAAATGTTTCGCCTCACATTGTTTATCCCATATGATGATCGCGTTATCGTAATCGAACTGACCACGTTGATTGAATCTCCAAACGATTAAACGATGTTCTTTATCGGATTTGCGACTATTTTCACTAAACTTCAAATAGAGGAAGGAATAGAGAGAGAGAGAGAGAGAGAGAGAGAGAGTTCGCATAAAATGTGTGTGAAATACTTGACGGTCTCTGAGAAACATCCCGTTTTTTTCACCTTAATTTATTCCCGTTTCACATTTGGGAAGATTGAAGAGTAACGAGTACTCACACTTTTTGCTATTAAATTCCTCGACCGTTAGGTCAAACCTGTTCTTTAATCAGTCGATGATCTGAATGTGATGGATCTTCCATTCGGCATTCCTTAGTAGTCATTTGGAGGACCTCGGTGAACTCAGACATAAGAATTACGACGCTAAAAATAGCTGTTTCTCGTCTTGCGCAACCTTCGTTGAGAAATTTCGGTAATAAAGATACGCGTTTAGCCGCGAACGCATGGTAAGAAACACAAGCTCGCGAAGGTTATCCTTCGCACTTGAAATCAACAAGAAATAGCTGATAGAAGAGTAATAAATTTTCTTATCGGAGGGCTGCATATTTTATTCTCTGTTTCTACACGGAAAATTCAATTGAACTAACTTACATTGAATAACACGAAATGCACCATCGCTTACTAAAATATATTCAATATCGATATATAAAGCCTGAACTAGGTTGCAGTTAGCGAAAATTGATATTCTCGCCTCTTTGCCGCGCAACTGCGTTACTTCGTAACGGAGAAAAGTACGCAACCGACGATAAAGAGGCAATAATTACCAAGATAAGCCGGTGGTTGCAGTTAAAAAAAAAAAAACATCGAATCATTTCAGGTTACGAGCGTCTACTTTGCATCCGTTTTCCGTAAACACGAACGACGCAGGAACGAACGGAGCGGTTCCGGGCAGAAGCGATCATTGCGTCGCCGTGTTTTCGGCTTGTTATTAACCTCCTTTCACTTAATCGCCGATAACATCGATCGTGTGTCAGCTGGAAAATCCGGTGTGTTGGCGTGTCAGTATATAAGTGAATAAATGTTAAACTACTCCGGGCTGAGCGTTTAGTCGGCTAAACTTTGAATTCCCTTTAAGGCACATGCCTATGCTCTGCGTTAACCCTTTTGCCCCCCGCGGCTGAACTCTGCCACAACAGACATATATTTCCAAGCTTACGACACGAAAGAGCCGACAGCTTACGAACCGCTCGAGAGATCCGTACGGGATACGCGAAGTAGTTTCTATACTCTCGTTTAGCCGGAGGGAGGGGGAGTCTCGCGACGTATTTAAATATCTGTTTTGGTGAACGCGGCAACGCACGACGGTCGAAGGAAAGGGCCGCGGATAATCGCGCGATCGCGCCGATACATTTGTTCCGCGCGATTTGCATTCGCTGACCGGCGTGTGGAGCGCGCGCGGCAACGATAAAAACGGGAGAGAATTAAAAAAAACGGCACATCGCGCTCTAGGCGATATCGAATCGCACTTTCGTACGCAATTGCGCGACGGCGACGGCGCGACTCGCAACGAATCGCGGGCTTATCGAGCTTGGCGTGACGGCGGATTAAATAAATCCACGCTAATTAGTGACGCTCTGCGAACGAGAGCCGGCGAGCTTAACGGGGACGGCGTCGCTTCGCGAAATGCGCTTCGGCGCCGCGCGGAAAGACCCCCGTAAGAAAGTGCATAAATCCGTCGATTAGACACGCCGCGACGGATACTTTCGGCGTTTAATGGCCGGTGCAATTAAGGCACGTGATAAACCATCGCGGGCGCGAGGCAACCAATCGCGCTTCGATCGAGGTCGCCGTATCGCCGTGGAGAAATATCTCCCCCGCCTCCCTTCGGCGATATACCCCCTCGCTCGCGTTACGAAAATTCGAAAGGATCGACGACGTTCCCGGGCGATTTAATTAGACGTGTCGCAAGATCCCGCTGCGAGATATACCGCTCTCCATTTTTCACCGCTGGAAGCGCGCGATTCCGCGGGGCCCGCGCGCGGAAAATGAGCGAAGGGACGCGCAGCTCCGGGGATATTGATCGATGGGAACGATAAATGGGAGGAATCGAGGGCTGCTCGATTAATCCCGGGCGATATCTATTGATTATTTATCGGCCGCGCGCGACACAACAGCAATACGCCAATCTCGATTCAACGCCGGCGAGCCGAGTGTCGGCTTCACGTTCTCGAGGCTAAATACCGTATTACCGTCGTAATGGCTCCTACATCTCGGCTAACATTATCGAGTCCGCAATTGACGGTGGGGATCTCGCTGGATGCGTTCGAGACATCGCACGTCCGGCGTACGTGAGACGGTGTCGCGAAACCGCGCCGATCGGGCCTTCCAGGAAAATCCTAGGCCTGATCCTGAGACTCGCCATCATCGCCTAGGCTCGCGCAGTGGGGCAGGGGGAAAGAAGGAAGAGAGGCTAGATGAGGGGAAACATCGTCGGGCAGGAGGCCCGAGGTGGCCTCAGGAAGGGAGGAGGTTAGATGGAGCGAGGTGCAAAAGGTGAAAAACAGTTTGCCATCAGCATAACCGGTTCCACGTATCTCTGAACGGGTCTCCCTCTCTCTCTCTCTCTCTCTCTGTCTCTCCCTCTTTCTCTCTTTCGCCCAGCCGAGACTCGCCCGATCCAGCCAACGGGGTTTCGCTCGACAGGGTCGCTCGCTTTCCTGATGATGCTGGTCGAGTACTTGCTACCGGTGTGCCGGTGTCCTTATACAGTTAAGGACATTATCTCGTCTCCTGCCCCAAATTCCGCGGGAGATGATATCGCGGATTGTTTCCCGCGTCTCGTCCCGTCCGTGGATCGTCCGCTCCGTCGCGTCCGCTCGAGACTAATCACTCCTCGTCGTTTATGATCGAAATGTGAATTCAACGGATGAGACGAACACGTACGGAACACGCGGAATTCAAGTCCAAGTCGCGGTCGTTCCTTCACACGTATCCAGGTAACCATCTCGAGATCGGTAGCCTCCTTGAACCGCTCGCAATTGGCGCCTCGATTTCTCAACGTTGAATATTTCGGCACGTAGTCACACCCAGATTTCCAAAGCCCGAGTTCGCTCGGCACGAGCCGTCCGCTCTCCGTAATCTCCGAAATCTTAATGAACCCCCCGCGAATGAATGAACTCGCGTCGATCTTTCGGCCGCATTGGAATAGAATCTGCTTTGTTACGGTCTGAGGTGAATTCTACAAGAGCGACGAACAGTACGATAAGTGCACAGACGACCCGGAGGAAAAGAGAAGCGAAACGGGGGATAACGCATCGGCACCTCGCGGAATTTTCTGTTCCAGACTCGGTGTTCACGTCGGGGACGCTGAACGTGGCGAGCGCGGTAGTCGTCGGCGGTCACGTCACGTTCACCGGGTGAGCCAGGAACGGCAACGATGGTGCACAGTTGTTCGTCGAGATGCGCCAAGCGCGCCTTCGTCTTCCTGTTCGCCTGGGGTCTGCTGATGATCGCGGCGGTGCAGTTCCGCCACCTGGAGAACAGGGCGCTGCGCGACGGTGCGCCGACAGCCGAGGAGAGCAACCTGGCGGAGGTCGCCGACGGCACCGGCAACGAGCGTGGCGCGAGCCGCTCCTCGAGCCTGGGTCTCTCCCGCTACCTGCTGCAGAGATCATACGGCGAGTCCGCGAATTCCGCCCTCTTGACCACCCTGACCACGATCAGGAGCCGTCTGGAGGCGACCAAGAGCCCGTTCGAGCTGGAGCCGCTGTTGGACAAGAGGCCAGCTAAAACTGAGCAGCAGCTGATCGAGGAGATCGCCGAGAGGATACCCAGCCTGCCACTGGGCGATTGGACGAAGAACAACAGACTGAGCCAGAAGAAGGGGAACGACAGCTGCTCGAGGTACCCGCAGATCTACGATCTGGAGTTCAATAATATTTACTGGCAGACGATGCGCACCAGCAACGGCACGTTCCAGTTCTTCGGGGCGTTCTTCGACAACCGGCGGCTCTCGAAGATCGGGCCGGCGGTGAGGATCGTCGGTATGATCGATCGGATCGAGCCGACCGTGAAGACGTACTGTCAGTTGTGGTACGAGAACGAGCGGGAGCCCAGGATCGTTGAAACGCACGAGTACAAGTACATCTGGTACGCCAAGTGGGGCAACTACAAGCAGGGTATCTATCAGCCGTACGTGATAGCGTGCAGGGTGCCGCCCCAGGCGTCCGGCAGGCCGCCCTCCTCCGTCTCGATGGTCGAGAAACGTTGCGACACCGCCAGTAATAATCTGCGGGTGATCTACAACAAGCCGCAGCGAAAGAAGGACTTCGCGGTATGCGTGAAGGGACTGGACTTTCTGCACGAGGACCTGTCGGTCCGGCTGATCGAGTGGATCGAGCTGATCAGCCTGCTGGGCGCCGACAAGATCTACTTCTACGAGCTGCAGGTGCACCCGAACGTGACCAAGGTACTGCAGCATTATCAAAGCCTGGGTATGGTACACGTGACCCCGCTGACCCTGCCAGGCGGCCAGCCGAACGTGCCGGCCTTCCAGCACATGTACCTCACGAAGAAGACCAATCACAAGCGGCAGAACGAGCTGATACCGTACAACGACTGTCTCTACAAGCACATGTACGAGTACGAGTACATCGCGCTGCTGGACGTCGACGAGGTGATCATGCCCGTGAACGACGCGACCTGGCAGGGCCTGATGCGCCGAGTGCTGCCGAAGGCACTGAAGATACGGAACGAGACTCGCGCCTCGTACAACGTCAGGAACGTCTACTTCCTCGACGACCTACTGCACTCTCATGGTTACTTCAAGGACATACCCAAGTGAGTAAGACTTCTACTTTCACGCCGCGGCTCGGATCGGCCGTTAATCGGCCGCCCGTGAAGGGAACGCGAAGGTGGATGGCTTGCGGAACCCGCCGGCTATCGGCGTCACGGTTCTCTTCCGACGGAAACGCGAAGAGCGCGATTGTTAGCGCGGGATGGGAAACGCGATAAACGCCGGACGGAATTTGCTCGCGGAAAAGCGGCGTCCCCGCCGATCATTCCTCTCGTGAGCAGCACCGATTTCTGCTTTACCCCCTCGCACTGTTCTTTCCACTGAATTTCTACCGCTTTGAACCAGCAAAATCAGCTCGAGATACTGAACGCAGCTCGAGGAGGAGAACACGTCTGTCTCTGAATTGGCATCGATCGAGATTTCGTTAATCCGTTTACGTTTCACAAACCATTCGAGTTTAATCCTCTTCGCGAAATGAAACGCACAGATCTGAGAGTCGGCGGAATTTAAGTAAATCTCGGGGGAAATCGGTCAAGGTTAGTTCAGTATAAATAGATATTAAATGTTTATTGATATTATTCTTTTCGATCTTGACGAAAACCTCGCTACTATTCCGATTATTTACCACGGAGGCCGGTAAAACGATTTCGGAGTTTGAGAGATCGCCGGCTATTAAAGTCCCACTCCGGGGGCGGCAACAAAACTTGGAATTTATCGCGACGTTTATTACCAAGACGGCAATTCCGGCACATCCTAGCCGTATCAGTTAGCCGGTCGGCGAGAAAAGCGTTCCTGATTCGAGCGTCACCTCGCAGGTACATGCACATGCTGCAGCACGTGTACCGCTCGAAGAACTTCACCAAGCCGAACCAGTACATCAAGTGCTTCCACAATCCGGAACGGGTGGTCACCCTGCACAACCACTTCCCGTTGGCGTGTCTGGGCGCCGGATGTACCAGCTACCCCATCGAGACCGAGGACGCGCAGCTGCAGCATTATCGGGCGGACTGCGTCAAGTCGCTGAAGAAGACGTGCGAGCAGTACCGGGGCAACAGTGTGGTGGACACGACGATATGGCGCTACAAGGACAAACTGATCGACAGGGTCACCAGCACGCTGAAGACCCTCGGTTTCTTCGGCCCGAGATAGCGACGAAGATTAATCTCTCCTCCACCACCTCGCTGTTCGTTTCAGCCTCCCCTCCTCACTTCCTCTCTCGAAGCTCCGATCGCGCGGTTCGGGGATTCGCGCGAGCCCGTGAATCCGTAGGCGGTGGTCGCTGAAGAAACTTGACCGGAGAGGTTTAATCGAGAGACACGCACGAGATATAAGTGTAAACGGTAAACTGGATTCCAACGGCGGAGCGTAATATCGCGGTCTCGCCCGCTCGTCGGTGTGCGTACGACGATAAGAGGCGTCCCGTAATCGGCGATGTTCGTCCGGCGAGAGACGCGGTAAGGTGGTGTGTATCAGATCGCTCGCATCAGTATCGGTAAGATCGGCGAATTACCGCTTAATGAGCGCGGATAAAAGACCAGGAAGAGACACCGCGAAGGTCGACGCCGCCCGTTCCCTTCTTTTTTTTATCAGCGCGCTCGGATCGCGCGCGCTCGCTCGCGTCGTAACCATCGAGCTACTTTTGGCGGACGGAAGCCGAGGCGATAAAAGAAGCAGGAACGAAAATGAAAGCAAAAACACGTTAACGAGAATACAGTCGAGAGATTGCAGTTCGTCGAACTTCCACGAGTTCTCGCGAGTTCTCGCTCGCGGGGCTTCGTTGCGCGAGTACTCTCACGGAATAGCTCTCTCTCTCTCTTTCTTTCTTTCTCGGAGAGTCGGAGTTAATAAGTTTCCTGAAAAAGAGAAAAAAAAAGTATCGCTATCGAGCGACTATCCATATCCCGGCGAATCGCAGCCGAATAAAGTCGCGGGCGATTTACGTTTTACGCGGGAAACCATTACGCCCGATTTATGCGCCGCCGATTAACACGGTAGTTTTCGCGCGCACCCCGTTAACCCGCGAGGCGAGAATTATCTCTAGGTCGGGCGTAATTGCGGTTCGATTTACATCGACAACCAGTCACAAATTTTCGCCGATCCGGACAACAAGCGGCCGGATTACGGTTCGCGTCGAAAGAGCCTGCGGTATTTCGTTCTTTTTTTTTTCCTGTTGTAAATAATTCCTCCCGAGTCTCGCGAGTATGCTCAATAATAATAGGATTTACGAGTCAGCGATTGATCGATAGAGCCATCGCCCCATAGCTGTGACATGGCAACGAATCGGTAAACGTGTCGCGGCTGCACTCGAGAGGTTGCCCGATGTTCGACTAAAAGCTGACGAAAAGCCGAGCAGAAGAAGCTTAGTTGACCCTTCAAAGTTGAATGAAAGACATGAAAGTAGTTGCTGTATCGCAATTTGTACGAATACGATGACGAAAGAATTGCATCGGAATTACATTACGACGCGAAAGCATACTCAAGCGTATACGATAAATGGATACACAGGATACCGCCTATTTTTTTTTTTTTAACGTAACCGTCGTAGAATATTTTGTTGGAAACGATCGTTGAGAAGGCGTTGCCATACCGTTCCGACGACTGAAACGCTGTGTGTTTAGGATTTAAATATTGTTATTAATTAGGATTAAGGTTACTTTTAATGTGAATCCTCCGCGCGGTCGCAAGGCGGTCTGTGTCAGTCGTAAATTTACGAAACCGGAAACCGGAAACTGTTCGAATTTTCTATCCGAACGTTATCGTTGCGCGATAAGCGAGGGAGGAATCGTACGAAAACAAAGTTCCACAAAGGCTGCTCATTTTATGTTTCATAATACATTTTAGTGTTTCTCTCGTACGTTTTAATTCCTAGTTAATTTCTATATTTTTTTTTATGGAACACACAACGATCTAAATCTTATTAATTGTATTTCGATGCGACACATAGAATGCTTTCTTTAACGGAATACTTTGAGTATTATTGTTTTACTTGTTCCTTCGGTTTCGTCAAATTTGATCAGACGCTTTGCGATTTCGGAGAACTTCTTCCTCTCCTTATGGTGAACCTCGATCGCTTTCTGCGCGACGACGATCGACTCTGCTTATCAAGACTCGATTGGAGCGTCGCTTCAAAAAGCGAGAAGGCGATTCACGTTGCACCATGAGACATATCAATATAACGGGGACCATTGTAGATAAGAGTCGTTCGACGTGCGTTATGGTTTTAAATCAACGTTGCTGATTTAAAACACGCGAAGACAATACACCGCATTCTTTGCATGCGGAGACGCGCGTTATCCTTCGAGCGGGAACACCGATGGACGGACGAAATGGTGCCTTTGTTTTTAATTGATGTGTATATTCTCGAATATTTAGCGTTAAATGTGATCTTTACTCGCGCCTTCCGCTACTATTTATAGAATATGAACTTTTTCAAATCGGCCGGCAAGACAAAGAAAATTCGACTGAATATCTTGCGTTGGGCCAACTTACTTGTGCGTTACGTTTCGCAAGACGAAACGTTTTTATTGGATGCGTAACGATCTCCCGGTAACAAAAGGGAGAATGTGAAAGCGTTTCGTTTCTTTGTACATATCATTAGGCTCCTATCTATTATCTTTAAACTCCGTTTCAAAGATAATAAACGACTACACGAGGAAGATATAAACCTGCGTTTCTTGCATCCCGGATATGATTCAGCGGGCCTTTATGAATTTTCCATCTTGCGTGTGTCATCGTTGCGTTATAGTAAGTATACTACTATCGTAATCGAAAATTAGCAATCATGCACATTCATATCATATTCATAGAAGAATAGGAATTAGCTGTCCACACAATAGAACCGAAATTTAGTTACCAGATCTAATTTTTCGCTATGGGAGCTAATTCTTTTTTCCCGTGCAACGTTAGAAAATTGAAAGGTACCGAAATCGTGACAGGAACAGCCGAAATTTTAGCTCCGCATTAATCTTGCAAAATTTCCCTGAAGTCCGAAGAACCAGGATACAACGCGTTATCGTCAAATATCTGAAATAACTAGGGATAAAATTACGTGACAAAATTACACGAGGGATTTTTCCGACGCCCAATATTCGCCGAGGGAAAGATCGGTCTCTCTCGGATTTGCCGAGAGATTTTTGCGGTCGATGTGGGAGGGTCGCATAACTTTCGGCGCGTTCAATAGGTCACTGCTTATCGCGATGTCAATAACGCATAATTCCGGGACGCGTCGCGCCGATCTCGGTGCGATCGGCGTTAGTGTCATTCGAAACGCCTGTCGACTTATCGGGCGCGTGTCCAAATTGTCGGCTGTTATCAGTGTGATGAGCCGGCACGCCGCTCGACATGCGTCGAGATAATCGATGGCGATTGCAATATAAGCGTCCATCAAGCAGACTGTGCGTTTCCTCCGATGACGCACGAGTAGGAGAACTTGAAACGTACTGCTGACAGTTTCCCAACGATCGAGACCGGCCGTGTCTCTTTCGTTCGCCCGAGTTTTCAGGAACATTCCGATACCTTTTGGCACGCGTGATGCTCCAACAGAGCTCGGTCTACGTACGTGCTTTTAATTTGATATGCGGATCCTCTTTCAACTCGCGTAAAATTTCTTAACCGATGGGATGTCGCACGCTAATACATCGAACGGTGTAATTTCTTACCATGATTTCCGAATTAAGATGTGACAATTTTATCGAAACTAATTACTTTTTGTAATTTGCATTCTGAAGAAAACTTCTAGTCCCATTGAATATTTTCTGTGCATATTGCGCGCTGTATTAAAAATAGGAAATATTACAATTAACGTTTTAAAAAGAAACAGAGAGAGAAGAAGAGAATTTATTATCGCCTGTTATCGATAATATGTTATAATATTATTGCGTTGAATTTCCCAGGCTTGCCGCGATAGCAACGTGTGCGGCGATCGTGGCGATTTTGCCGACGGACAATATTACAGCACGGGCTTCGCCAATAAATTATAGGCATCGATAAACCAGGTGGCGAAAGATAACCGAGGAATAGCCTTCCGTAGGTACGCCGGCTCGCCGGGCTCGCGACCTCGTTATTCCCCCATTACGAGCGGACAACGCGATACGAAATCTTCATCGCACGCGCATGCAAATTTAACCCCGATATTTCATCGTTCCGCCCGGGACCCATCGTTGCGCGTGGGTATTTTCATTCGTTTTCGTCGCTCTTCGCTCCGGGAAAAACTCACGCGACGGGAGAACCTCGCCGGCGAAAACATTTCCCCGCACTTTTCTGTGATTTTCCGAACGGCGCGACCTCGGGCCCGCGAGGATTCGCGAGACAGCGCTTTTCCCCGCCGGGGAAAAATCCCGCGATCATCGTACGCGCGCTCTCGTCCGCGCGTCTCATCGATCTCGCTTCTCTGTAAATAACCGCCACTAAAAATAAAGCGCGCTTGTCCGTTTGCCGACTTTGCGGAGAATCGCGCGCGCACACACGCCGCCGCCGCTCTGTTGTCCGAAACCGTCGCCACGAGCGAATTTACATGATCGACGACCTCATGTTTATTCATGTAACTCCGCATGGTCCAATTAATACACGCCGCCGCGATAATTACTGCCGCCGGACGTATATTCGCCCTGGCGCGACGTCCAGCGCGATCACACTTACGGCACCGCCGCGTTATATTCATCGGGATTTTCGTCGATGCGCCCTCGTTCGCCCGGCATCGTTTTCTCTCAATAACGTGTGGCCAGTGTATGTGTGTGTGTTCCGTGAGAATCTAAAATTGCGGGAGAATCCACGGGAGCGATTGAACGCGCGACAAGCGCGAGATATAATTCGAACGTGACTCCGGGGAGATTAGCGGGGAACATACCGCGAATCACGAGACCGCTAAGGAATCAATTGGACATCGCCTGAGTCTATCGGCATATAGTAGAGGAGAAAGCGGTATCACATGCGTGTGTGTGTGTGTGTGTGTGTGTACAAACCTTGTGGGGATTTTCATCGTTATTTCTTCGAAGAATTTATTTTGCATAAATTTGCAACAAAACACTATATTTATTTAAACAAAGCCAATTTTTTAAATCTGTTTTAGCCACGTTACTCCGATTCCTCTTCGACCCATTTCGCAGTTTCGTCAAATTTTTTGTAAATAACGTCCTGAATAATAAATACTTCATAACTTTGAGTCTAGAATGGATAAACAACACTTTGACGAATGTAATCGTTAAAGTTTGCAACTTAAAATATCAACTATTGACACAGTTATTGTACGAAATATAAATGAGGGGCTACAATACCGATACCTTCTCCTCTATTAGATAGAGCATGCGGCGAGATCCCTTTGATCTTTTGTGCTGACGGGCCTAGGAAGAGAGAGGCAGAATTTCGTCTAATGAGAAACAGGAGCAGCGTCGTATTTTTATATAAGTTGAGAATATCCTTAACGTGTGTTGCAGTCTAGATTTGCGTTACGCTTTGTGCAAACGTCGCGTGAAACTATCATATACGTGACGAATAATTACTAAATATGGCTTCTACTTTAGTCATGCAATATTTATTGCGCAAAAGAAGCGTACACAATTTTTCAGTACTTCATAACTTCGGCCTACGTGAGTCGCTATTACCCACACATCTTGTCCCTTTCCACGTCCGTCAATGCGGTTTCGATTCTGTACTCCGTCCGATATTACATATCGATGATCGAACATCGTTTCCGCGATCGTTTTCCGCTGCGAGAGACGCGGACTCATCCCCTCGCACCAGCTCGATGTCGTTAATCTCGTTTGCCTGAATAACCCGGAGTTTACAAATAATTATGACGTAACGGCCCTCGCGCGGTCCTCTCAATGTCCGCGTTATTTACCATCGAGCAAAGCCTATTGTATACAAATTTACATAAACGCACAAGCGCGCCGCGCGATTATCCCTGCGAGTGTAACAGCCGGCGTAATTTCCGCGGGACATTAGATAAGCGCGACTTGCAGACGAGAGAGATAGAGTGTGTGCGTGTCTCTCGTCGCTCGAAACGCCACGTGCGTACTGCCGCGCGTTAGTTTCCGAGAAGCGATACTCGCAAAGGGTATCGATACCAGCCGGGTTTAAACGCAACGCGCGGCATCGCCGTCTTCGCTCGTAGGTAGATCTCGCGCGCGTATCGCGCGTCGTCTTCTCCTCCTCCTCGTCGCTCTCCCTCCCTCCCTCTCTCTCTCTCTCTCTCCGGGGCGCGCGTTCTCCTCGCTTTCCGAACTCGAAATCTCGACGCCGGGATAAATTTGGAACAACCGCCTCTCTCGTGGATGTAACTCACAGCCGCGTTCCACGTTTCTGCCTTAGTTTCGTGCCGAGGATCACGCGGGAATCACGCTCGGCGAGCGTCGTTATGGCGAAATCCGGAAGTCGCGGAGGGTTGTTCGCGAGTGAGCGCGAGATCCGTGCGATTCTGAGAGGCTCGTCGGGCCTCTAAGAGATCGTCGAGGAATCCGAAGAATCCGACCAACGTCAGGTGAATCTCGATCGGAATTAATTTCCGCGGCTGTCGGCCGCGCTCCTCCAATCCGGCTTCAAGCACGCGCCAGTCTCGAAACAGTCGTCGTTTTCTGCGTGGTGTTGATGTTGAATCTCTCGCGGGATCGAGTCACGAATAACTTTCGTTCTTTCTTTCGCCTCCCCTCCCCCCCCCCCC